AGGATCAATACAACAAGAAGAGCTAACGATCCTAAACATATATGGACCCAATGCAGGAGCACCCAGATACATAAGGCAAGTTCTTAATGACTTACAAAAGGACTTAGACTCCCACACAATAATAATGGGAGACTTTAACACTCCACTGTCAATACTAGACAGATCAACCAGACAGAAAATCAACAAGGATATCCAGGGCTTGAACTCAGACCTGGAGCAAGCAAACCTGATAGACATTTACAGAACTCTCCACCCCAAATCCACAGAATACACATTCTTCTCAGCACCACATCACACCTACTCTAAAATTGACCACATAATTGGAAGTAAAGCACTGCTCAACAAATGCAAAACAACTGAAATCATAACAAACAGCCTCTCACACCATAGTGCAATCAAGTTAGAACTCAGAATACAGAAACCCACCCAGAACCGCACAGCTTCATGGAAACTGAACAACTGGCTCTTGAATGTTGACTGGGTAAACAACGAAATGAAGGCAGAAATAAAGAAGTTCTTCGAAACCAATGAGAACGAAGACACAACGTGCCAGAACCTCTGGGACACATTTAAAGCAGTCTCTAGAGGAAAGTATATAGCAATAAGTGCCCATATGAGGAGAATGGAGAGATCCAAAATTGACACCCTATCGTCAAAATTGAAAGAGCTAGAGGAGCAAGATCAAAAAAACTCAAAACCCAGCAGAAGACAAGAAATAACTAAGATCAGAGCTGAGCTGAAGGAGATTGACACACGAAAAACCCTTCAAAAAATCAATAAATCCAAGAGCTGGTTTTTTGAAAAGATCAACAAAATAGACAGACCACTAGCCAGATTGATTAAAAAGAAAAGAGAGAACAACGAAATAGATGCAATAAAAAATGATAAAGGGGAAATCACCACAGATTCCACAGAAATTCAAACCATCATCAGAGAATATTAGAAACAACTCTATGCACATAAACTAGTAAACCTGGAAGAAATGGATAAATTCCTGGACTCCTGTGTCCTCCCAAGCCTAAACCAGGAGGAAGCTGAAACTATGAATAGACCAATAACAAGGTCTGAAGTTGAGGCAGCAATTAAGAGCCTACCACACAAAAAAAGCCCAGGTCCAGACGGGTTCACAGCCGAATTCTACCAGACACACAAGGAGGAGCTGGTACCATTCCTTCTAAAACTATTTCAAACAATCCAAAAAGAGGGAATCCTTCCCAAATCATTTTATGAGACCAACATCATCCTGATACCAAAACCCGGCAGACACCCAACGAGAAAAGAAAACTTCAGGCCAATATCCATGATGAACATAGATGCAAAAATCTTCAATAAAATATTGGCAAGCCGATTGCAACAGCAAATCAAAAAACTTATTCATCATGATCAAGTAGGATTCATCCCGGGGATGCAAGGCTGGTTCAACATACGCAAGTCTATCAACGTAATTCACCACATAAACAGAACCAAAACAAAAACCACATGATTATCTCAATTGATGCAGAGAAGGCATTTGACAAAATTCAACAGCCCTTTATGCTAAAAACCCTCAATAAACTCGGTATCGATGGAACGTATCTCAAAGTAATAAAAGCTATTTACGACAAACCAACAGCCAATATCATACTGAATGGGCAAAAACTGGAAGCATTCCCTTTGAAATCTGGCACTACACAAGGATGCCCTCTCTCACCACTCCTATTCAATATAGTACTGGAAGTTCTAGCCAGAGCAATCAGGCAAGAAAAAGACATAAAGGGTATTCAAATAGGAAAGGAGGAAGCCAAATTGTCTCTATTTGCAGACGACATGATAGTATACCTAGAAGACCCCATTGCCTCAGCCCAAAAACTCCTGAAACTGATAAGCAACTTCAGCAAAGTCTCAGGATATAAAATCAATGTCCAAAAATCACAAGCATTCGTCTACACCAATAACAGACTTAAAGAAAGCCAAATCAAGAGCAAACTGCCATTCGCAATTGCTACAAAAAAAATAAAATACCTTGGAATACAACTCACAAGGAACGTAAGAGACCTCTTCAAGGAGAACTACAAACCACTGCTCAATGAAATCAGAGAGGACACAAACAGATGGAGAAACATTCCATGTTCATGGTTAGGAAGAATTAATATCGTGAAAATGGCTATACTGCCCAAAGTAATTTACAGAATCAACGCTATCCCCATCAAGCTACCATTGACTTTCTTCACAGAACTGGAAAAAACCACCATGAACTTCATATGGAACCAAAAGAGAGCCCGCATAGCCAAGTCAATTCTAAGCAAAAAGAACACAGCGGGGGGCATCACACTACCGGATTTCAAACTATATTACAACGCTACAGTAATCAAAACAGCAGGTACTGGTACCAAAACAGAGATATAGACCAATGGAACAAAACAGAGGTACCAGAGGCAACACAACATACATACAACTATACAATCTTTGATAAACCTGACAAAAACAAGCAATGGGGAAAGGATTCCATGTTTAACAAATGGTGTTGGGAAAACTGGCTAGCCATGTGCAGAAAGCAGAAACTGGACCCCTTCCTGACACCTTACACTAAAATTAACTCCAGATGGATTAAAGACTTAAACATAAGACCTGGCACCATAAAAACCCTAGAAGGAAATCTAGGCAAAACTATCCAGGACATAGGAGTAGGCAAGGACTTCATGAACAAAACACCAAAAGCATTGGCAACAAAAGCCAAAATAGACAAATGGGACCTAATGAAACTCCACAGCTTCTGCACAGCAAAAGAAACAGTCACTAGAGCGGATCGGCAACCAACAGAATGGGAAAAAATTTTCGCAGTCTACCCATCTGACAAAGGGCTGATATCCAGAATTTACAAAGAACTCAAACAGATTTACAAGAAAAAAACAAACAAGCCCATTCAAAAGTGGGCAAAGGATATGAACAGATACTTTATGAAAGAAGACATATATGAGGCCAACAATCATATGAAAAAATGCTCATCGTCACTGGTCATCAGAGAGATGCAAATCAAAACCACATTGAGGTACCATCTCACGCCAGTTAGAATGGCGATCATTAAAAAATCTGGACACAACAGATGCTGGAGAGGATGTGGAGAAAAAGGAACACTTTTACACTGTTGGTGGGAGTGTAAATTAGTTCAACCATTGTGGAAGACAGTGTGGCGATTCCTCAAGGCCTTAGAAATAGAAATTCCATTTGACCCAGCAATCCCATTACTGGGTATATATCCAAAAGACTATAAATCGTTCTACTATAAGGACACATGTACACGAATGTTCATTGCAGCACTGTTTACAATAGCAAAGACCTGGAATCAACCCAAATGCCCATTGATAATAGACTGCATTGGAAAAATGTGGCACATATACACCATGGAATATTATGCAGCAATCAGAAATGATGAGTTTGTGTCGTTTGTAGGGACATGGATGAATCTGGAGAACATCATTCTCAGCAAACTGACACAAGAACAGAAAATGAAACACCGCATATTCTCACTCATAGGTGGGTGATGAAAAATGAGAACACATGGACACAGAAAGGGGAGTACTAAACACTGGGGTCTATTGCGGGGAAAAGGGGAGGGCCAGTGGGAGGGGGAGGTGGGGAGGGATAGCCTGGGGAGAAATGCCAAATGTGGGTGAAGGGGAGAAGAAAAGCAAAGCACACTGCCATGTGTGTACCTACGCAACTGTCTTGCATGCTCTGCTCATGTACCCCAAAACCTATAATCCAATAAAAAATTAAAAAAAAAAAAAAGAATTTGGGACATTCCTTTCAGACCTTTCTTAAAATATATTTGTTTAACTTTTACTATACATATTTTGTTTAAGAAATTTTTTTTTCATAATTCTTAACATAATCAGATATGTTTTATGGTCACATTCCATTTCTTTTGTATTAATGACAGGTAAAGTAGAAAAAAAGATAACCTGCTAGAAACCGGGGAGCATCTCATTTTTTTCTCCCTGAAAGGTTTTACAGAGTATTTAGGGTCTTTAAAATCCACTTGCATAATGTTATGGGTTTGATTTATGTACTTTGGAGGGAGGTAGTCAAGTTGTTAATTAAACTGTTGCTTAGTTTCTTAAAGAGAAGTAATTAGAAACAGTTTCTCTAAAAAGTGTTTAGTAACATATTATTTAATCTTATAATTGTTACATAATTTAAGACATATATTGGGATTTTAGGGTAATATTATATTGGGTTTTGAAGAAAATTGCAGATAGTTATTGAAATGCAACAGACTAGTGGATTTATACATCTTTTTATCACATTTGAAATTTGAGTGAATGAATTTTGTCTATCTAGTTTATATAAGAAATCAAATATTTAATGTCAGATTTAGTGTTAGACTTTTGTGTGTGCTATCTATAGAAAACAGTCTTTCAACTCTTCTTTTACTCAGATGTTGTATAAGAGCAGAGTATTGTGTATCTTTTCATCTTTGGAATTAGATGGCTTTCTACTAATTAGTGACTCCCCAGCGGGTTTCTACATTATCAGAGCATTTAAGGGCTTCTAGGCCACCTGCTACTGCTGCCGTTCTCATCACCTGGCCAGAGTACATCTGGCTACTCACATTCCCTTTGGGATGTCTAATTGTCAATTTCCCAAGCTATGATTACTGGTAAAACAGGATTCTGAGACTTAGTCTGCCCTGTGATAACATAATACTTTGATTGTATCATTGTGACATGCTTTGTTTCCATCAAAAAAATTTTAAATTCTGCTCTATGTGTATTTAAATCTGAGACCTTTGTTTAAAAAAAAAAAGAAAAAAGCCTTCTGATGTAAATCCTAAAATTATGCATTCTCCTTTCCCCAAGTGAAATGATGAATATAATTTGTGTGGAACTTAAGAAATTAGTTAAGAGGGAATTACGAACTTCTTTGACTTCTACAGTCACTAACCACTCATTCCTAGGCAGCTTTGGTTTGGTGACTTGTTTTTCGGTTGGTATGATATTGATGCAGACCTTCTGACTCAGTTGCAGCAGTTACTCACAGACCTTCCCCATGACATGCTGGATGACGACCTCTCCTCTCCTGAGCTCCATGATTCGGACTACAGCGAGGATGGCACAGACAGAGAGTAAGCACCTGAAGTCACTTTCACTTGTATATTACAATTCTATAAGTCTTTTTCTTTTGATGTAGTTTAATATTGTACATGATTATAAAATTGTAAATAGATTATTAAAATTTGGGGTGAGGTTGGCGGGAAAGACATTAAAATCTTGGGGTTCTTTGTGTTATCGATGTACAAATAAATGATACACTTTAAATGGAAAGTATTCCTTTTTCTCAAGACCACATCATCCTGAGCAATTAGAGATGAACTGGAATGAGCAAGTGCTGCCCAAATCTCAACGTATAAATGTAAGTGTCTGGTGTGATGATGACACAGGTGAGGGTGGGAATGGATCTTCGTGCTTTTGTTTTACTCTCGTTATCTAATAGGACTATAATGAAATTCAGAATTTATATGCTGGAGAAAAATGTGGGAATGTCTGGGAAGAAAACAGAAATAAAACTGAAGACCGACATCCTGGGTACCACCCTGAAGAAGGTGGAGATGAAGGCGGAAGTGGTTATAGTCCTCCAAGTAAATGTGAACAGACTGATCTATATCACCTTCCTGAAAACTTTAGGCCGTATACCAATGGTCAGAAACAGGAATTTAACAACCAACCAACCAATATAATTAAATTTTCAGATCCTCAGTGGAACCATTTTCAGGTATTGTAAAAACTTAGGATATTTGTGTGTGTTTAGGAAATGTATGTAAGTGCAGTGGTAAGATGATTTAACCACACGAAATTTTGAGGGGGCACTTATTCAGGTTCATGGTGAATTAGTCATGGTATTTTCTGTTTACATTCTAATACAATCATGATCTTAAGTCAAAAGTTTAAAATAGAAGCTCTTTGGATACAGTTGTTTAAACATTGAAAGTTAAGTCTGTCAAAGAATAGCTATCCTCATTTACTGCTGCTTCTACCACTGCCCTGTGCTTCAGTGAGGAGCTCTGTTCAGGTCTCATTGTAGTTTTTAAAGCAGTAATTCTATGGAGGTGACATTTAATTTTCTCAATTTTTCTGCTCACCACTCATAACAAATTTTAAGTTAAACAATGTCAAAGCTGATATCTGTTTTGTTTGGCAATGAAACAGTAGACAGGATGAATTTTAAGGAAAAAACAAAAAGGCTTGTTTTTCCTGTGGGAGGGTTTGATGAAGTAAGACCTCAGGATATAGTTAGTTGCTTCTTAGAATTTCTTGATGACAGCAAATACCTCAACAGCTAGTCTGTGCCATGCATGACAGGATGGATTTTTGGGTGCTGTTAAGTGGTTATTTTCTCTTAATTCTCTCTCCATGGAATGTTATTCAGCCCATAAGGGTTATCGAATATTTATTAGATATGAGGCACTGTATTCCATGTTCATGTATTGAATGTGTGCATTTTTATGTTCCCAAGATGTTGGCATAATCTAAATCAGTTGTATTAAAATATTTGTATATAGTCTTACTGGAATTCTTGAGTTTTATTTATAAAATTGGCTTCATTGTGTGCTCAAAAGTAGAATTTAGGTGTCTATATGTATTGCAGACTTTCAATTAATAGTGTTAAATAACAATAAGTGCTACTTTTAAGCAGATATGTTTATATATGTGTGTCCGTATGTGTGTGCATGTGTGTGTATGTATGTATATATACATATAAAACTTTGTAACTAACAAAAGTAAGTTCTGTAACATAAAATTTAGGTGTCTAATTCAGATGATTTTGGAAGAAAAGGCCAAATCTTAATTGTCAGTTTCTTCTGTCATCTATAATAGCAATTTGGTTCACCACAGGGTCCCAGTTGTCAAGGTTTGGAACCGTATAATAAAGTGATATATAAGCCGTATCAGTCTTCTGCCCCAAACAATGGCTCACCAGCCCCAGAGATAACAGGAAGTGACACATTTGAAGGCCTGCAACAACAATTTTTAGGAGCTAATGAGAGTAGGTATCAAGTTTATATTTATTTTTTAATACCACATAATTGGGGAAATTTGAACAGTGAATATTTGAGCACATTCAAGCATTATTATATTTTGAGTATGACATAGAATTGTGCTTGATATTTCAAAGAGCCTTATTTTTAGAGATATATACTAAGAGTGTTTATGAAAAAACTGACATGAAGTCTCGAATTTACTTTAAAATAATATATTGTTGATGGGTAATGTTAGGTGGGAATATAGATGCGGCTGAACTGGCCATGAGTTCATAGTTGGTGAATCTGGGAAATGGGTTTGTGGAGATTCATCATACTGTTCTCTTTACTTTCTTGTATATTTGAAATTTTCCAGAATGAAAAGTTAAAAGACATTTTCCCAACTGCATATTTCAGTCATTCTAGCTTGTTAAGTCTTTTCTCCTCATTTGGATAGTAGTTAGTATCCTCGCCTATCATACAGGAGACTGGAGCTCATCTGAAATTTAAGAAAATTAAAAAAGACTTTTTATGAACTTCATATTTTTTTGACTGAAGCCTAATTTGGAAAATGAAACATAGTTTTCACCCTCAGATTTCTTACTATATGGAAGTGTAATTTAATACATCAGCGCTATCATCAACTTTTTTCTTTTGATTTTTGCAGTTTTTAGTGTAATAATTAGTCTACTCTGATGTAAATTACTTTATATTCAGAATTACTTGGATATCAGGTTCAGTCATGGGACATTTGCCACATTTTTTGTACAGTGTGTATATAAATATGAGAATGAAAAAAGTGCTATAGCTACTGGAGAATTTTGATATGAGGGGCTGGTATCAAAAAACAAAAATTCCAAAATGTAAACCTGTATAGTGACTTTACTGAATTACTCTTGTCATACTCTCTGGCATACTAAATAGCTTCTAATTATTGGGCATATTGAAGAGCCAGTATAATTCTAGAGCGTGGCAACAAGTTTTTTGTTTTATTTTTTGTTTCCCTTTAATTGGTAGGGAAAAAGTCATACTGGATATTTGGGCTTACCTGGGCTATACCAAAGAGAAAACTGGACTTTTGTGTTGTGATTCCATAGTGTTGTTCCATCGTACACTGGGATGGCAGGGTACTTATGGGGGAGGCCCGGAACTCCATTTTCCCCTGAAGGCATCAACAGCAAATATGAGGGTGGCTTCTTTTTGTTTCTAAGTTTTTTTGTGGAATGAGGAAGTGGACAGTGTATATAACTGGTTTTAGGTCACAGCAGTGACGTGACAGCTCCTTAGTGTTTACTCTTTCAGTTCCCTTGAAAAGTTATATTTATGTCTCCTGGTCTTCCTGCATATAGACACTTTCCTCACCTTTCTAAACAATCTGCACTTCTACAAGTTGAGTTCGGTATACATTTGTCTAAGGTTGACATTTGGAAGTTAAATAACTTAATGGTAGTGCCAATTTAGTGATGATAGTTTCTTAGCAACAGTAGTTTAAAAAAAGAGTTTGAAGACAGGTGGGGCTTAAAGACTATTTATTTCTGGGCTAGCTCTACTGTAAGACTTGTAGAAACTTTTCAGTCTTTAATTTTCTTTATTTAACCAGATCTCTGTTTTGAAAGAGGACTGAATTATTTAGTTAGCAAGTGGTTAAAACTTAGTAAATGCATTTATTTCTGATTGTAAGCTTACAGAAACATTGTTCTTATAGGAAGTGAAGAATATTTATGTAGTTGAAGCATTATCCTCCTACCAATTCTTTCTTCATTTTTGTCTCTGACTCTTTTTCAAGTGGTCCTCAAATGACTGATTGTTTATTGTTTCTGAAAGAAGACTTCAAAATTCTTTTTTTTTTTTTTTTTGAGACGTAGTCTTGCACTGTTGTCCAGGCTGGAGTGCAATGGTGTGATCTTGGCTCACTGCAACCTCTTCCTCCTGGGTTCAAATGATTCTCCTGCCTCAGCCTCCCAAGTAGCTGGTATTACAGGCACCTGCCACCACGCCTAGCTAATATTTATATTTTTAGTAGAGACAGGGTTTCACCATGTTGGCCAGGCTGGTCTTGAACTCCTGGCCTCGTGATCTGCCCACCTTGGCCTCCCAAATTGCTGGGATTACAGGCCTGAGCCACCATGCCCGGCCTTTTTTTTTTAAAATTATGGATTTGAGGAGTACATTTGCAGGTTTGTTACATGGGTATATTAAATAATGCTGGGGTTTGGCTTCTAGTAAACCCATCACCCAAGTAGTGAACATAGTATCCAAGGATAGTTTTTCAGTCCTTCCCCTCCCTCCCTTTCTTCCCAAAATTCTTGATTAATCTGTTCACTAGCTAATTAATTCAGCAGTTATATGCTAGCATAAATATAAATATAACATTTTCCCCAGTCCTGCCTAAAATAAAATATTTTGAGGCTGTCTAGAAATTTTCTGTAAAAATGATTTTATAGAAGTTGATGTACTTGTTTTGTTTTAAATTTTCTGAGAGAATATTACTTTATTTCATTGCAGTTGTTATATACTAATTTTTAATTGGCTAAAATGGTAGTTAGTGATTCAGGGTTATAACCTCAACCAATGACTTTCAAACTTTTTTGGCAGTGTCCCACTGCCAGAAACTATATTTTTTACATCGTGATGTGGTCTGCAACATACATCTCTATGAACAAGCATATATAAATGAAACAAAAGTTTCACAAAATAACACTGATTCTTACTATGTGATACAGTCTGATATAGTCTCTCTATTTTAATTCTAGTCACAATTCACTGAATTGATTTCATGATGCTCTAAAATGTTGTAGCCATAGTTTGAAAAACACTGCTTTAAATGACTAAATTTATATTTTGGTATGTTTTTATCTAATAAATTGCCTTTAATTCCCAGAATCTGCAGAAAATATGCAGATTATTCAACTTCAGGTTCTTAACAAAGCAAAAGAGAGACAACTGGAGAACTTGGTTGAAAAGTTAAATGAAAGTGAACGTCAAATTCGATATCTGAATCACCAGCTTCTGATAATAAAAGGTAAGGTGCTGGATGCTGTTATTTATGAGGTACACTGGAGCTAGATATCTTATTTCCAATAACCTCGTATTAAATACAAAGCTTAGAGAGTTAAAGCACTTGGTCAGAGGGTTCATAGCGAGTGACACATAGCAAAACAAAAGCTAGGATTTCTGAGTGTTTGCCTTGGATGACTTCTCTTTAGAATACTCTGTTTTGGATACCAGGTGTGGTGGCTCACGCCTGTAATCCTAGTACTTTGGGAGGCCAAGTGGGGCAGATCGCTTGAGGTCAGGAGTTTGAGACCAGCCTGGCCAACATGGTGAAATCCTGTCTCTACTAAAAATACAAAAATTAGCCAGGCATGGTGGCGGGAGCCTGTAATCCCAGCTACTCAGGAGACTGAGGCAGGAGAAGGAGCATTACCTGAACCGGGGAGGTGGAGGTGGAGGTGAGCCAAGAAAGCACCACTGCACTTCAGCCTGGGTGACAGAGCGAGACTCTGTCTCAAACAACAACAACAAAAACCACAAGGCATGTGTGTACCTATAATAAATCTGCACATTCTGCCAATGTACCTCAGAATTTAAAGTGTAATTTTTTTTTTTTTTTAAAAAGGACACATTATTTTGGAGTCCTCATTTTTTCCTGTTTCTCTCTTAGGTTCTCGCTTAGGTTTTTAGAATCGTTGAACATTATTATTATTTTTGGGATGGAGTCTCGCTCTGTCACCCAGGCTGGAGTACAATGTCAGAACCTCAGCTCACTGCAACCTCTGCCTTCTGGGTTCAAGTGATTCCTCTGCCTTGGCCTCCCGAGTAGCTGGGATTACAGGCACCCACCACCGCACCCGGCTAATTTTTGTATTTTTAGTAGGGACTAGGGATTTCGCCATGTTGGCCAGGCTGGTCTTGAATTCTTGACCTCAGGTGATCCACCTGCCTTGGACTCCCAAAATGCTCTGCATTCAGGTGTGAGCCACAGCACCCAGCCTATTTATACTGATGGCATTCTGTCTTAAAAAAAGTTGTCGATTCCTTATGTCGTTTCTCTAGATGAAGTATTCCAATTTTCAGAGTGATTTGTACTTAGTTTTCACTGCAACGTTTTCTGGGGCTACAAATTACCATAAAGGTTTTAATCCAAATAAGAGTTAGTGATTGTGAAGTAGCATATCTGGGATAAACACATAAGAGTAAATACAGATTCCAATTTTAATTGCTTACTCCTGTGTTTTCTGTAGTTTTGGTCCACATTAAACTTTCATTTGCAGAATAATTTTGTGATTGAACTCTAGCTCATTTCAAATGTAATTGATGGTGAAAATGTCTCTTTCTGCAATGCTCGTAAAATTTATTTTGAGAGAAGAACTTGTGAGCTGTTATAGCAAAGTATGTGGGAAGAATTTAAGATTAGGTGAGTTTAACAGTTCAGTGCAATATGTGTGGGATAATTAGTCCTCAGATAACTTCTTTGATTAGCAGGAGTTTAAAAGGGATGCAATAATTTTTTTTTGTTTTTGTTGCCCATGCTGGAGTGCAATGGTGTGATCTTGGCACAGCAACCTCTACCTCCTGGGTTCAAGCGATTCTCCTGCCTCAGTCTTCCGAGTAGCTGGGACTACAGGCGTGTGCCGCCACACCCAGTTGATTTTTGTATTTTTAGTAGAGACGGGGTTTCGTCATGATGGCCAGGATGGTCTTGATCTCATGACCTCATGATCCGCCTGTCTCGGCCTCCCAAAGTGCTGGGATTACAGGTGTGAGCCACGGCCCCAACCCTAATAATATTTTTAAAGGAAATTTGTCTAAAAAAAATTGTTTTGGTGTCATTTAGGTGTTTTTTTTTTCCTTCAATTTTTAATTTTAAATTATTTATTTATTTGAGGCTGGGCAAGGTTGCCTTTAATCCCAGGAGTTTGGGAGGCCAAGGTGGGTGGATCACTTGAGGTCAGGAGTTCGAGATCAGCCTGGCCAACATAGTGAAACCCCATCTTTACTAAAAATACAAAAATTATCTGTGAGTGGTGGTAGGTGCCACAGATAAGGTGGTAGGTGGTGGTAGCTGGTGGGTAATCCCAGCTACTTCGGAGACTGAGGTTGTAGTGAGCCTAGATTGTGCCACTGCACTCCAGCCTGGGTGACAGAGCGAGACCCTCTCTCTAAATAAATAAATAAATAAATAAATATTTCTTTATTTGGTTTTCTCTAAATCAACTAAAGTTAATTTTTCTGAATTAAATTTAATTCAACCACGTTTATATATGATACAGATGTGATATCTGATAGTGATTGTGACATTGGGGTCCCTCTACAGTAACATTTATATAAATATTTTTAATACCATAGATGAAAAGGATGGTTTGACTCTCAGCCTTCGAGAATCACAGAAACTCTTTCAGGATGGAAAAGAAAGAGAGATACAGCTTGAAGCTCAAATAAAAGCACTGGAGACTCAAATACAAGCATTAAAAGTCAATGAAGAACAGGTACCTATTTTAACTTATGTACAGTAAAAAAGTTAAAAGTTCAGTTATTTAACAAAACTTTTTATAGGGCAGGACTAAATTTAGAAGAACTTTGAAGTTATTGACAAAGCATTAGAACTTAAATTTCCTGACTGAAATACTTTCCTCCAGAACTGGTATCCTGAGAAGCTTTTATTTTATTTTTTAATTCTGCAGCTTCTTAACCATTTGGAGAACTGTTCTTTAGACTTGAGTTTAAAGTGGTGACACATTCACATTCTTTGATTAATGAGATAGCCATTTGATTTTTGGAAATAGTCACAAGTCATTGGTAGCTAAGCCTGGTGGTGGTTGATTCATTTTTTCCAGGGGGCATGGTTAAAAGTGAAAGTGACTGAAATAATGAGCTTGGTTTTGGGTGAGACTTGTAGCTAAGTCTGAGGATGGTTTAATGAAAGCGATTAAACAGTGTTGTTTTACGTCTGGCTCCTGCTCGTCGTTCAGGTCCTTTTCAGAGGACTTCCCATTCACTTTATATGTGAGGCAGCCCATAGCTTCATCCTCCAACTCATCTTCATCATGCCATGTCCTATTACTCTATTCTATAACTATCTGAAATGATCTCATTTGTTTACTTGTTATTTACAGTTCCTTCCCACTAGAAAGTAGTAAGAGCATAGACCTTTTCTGTGTGTGGTCATTATGTCCTTAGTGTTTAGAACCCTGCTTGGCACAAATTATCCGTGTTATTTAATGGATGGATCTCTTAGCAATGAAAGCATTAATGGAATAAATCGGCAGTCTCTGGGATAGGATGAAGAATATTTCTCTTTTGAAATTTTCATTATTGTATGTAATGTAGATTACTTTTAACTTTTTGAAAACTGATAGTTACTAGATTAAAAAGTTAAATTGCTTTTATGTAGTAAATGGTTATAACTTTGTCATCTTTTTATGTTAGCAATTACTTTATCAAATAATAGTGTAGCATAAAAAAAGCAGCAGAATCATCAAGTGTATTAGTTTCCTATTGCTGCTGTAACAGATGACTACAAATTTAGTGGTTTGAACCAACACAAATCTATCTCACAGTTCTGGAGGTCAGCAGTCTGATATGGGTCTCAGTAGGCGAAAATCAGGGTGTCAGCAAAGCTGCATTGCTTTCTGGAAGCTTTAGGGGAGAATTCATTTTCTCACTATTTCCAACTTCTAGAGGCTGCCTGTGTTCCTTGGTTTGTGGCCCATTTCTGTCTTCAAAGACAGCAATGGCTGGTTGAATCTCTCTTGTTCTGACTTTTCTGCCTTAGTTTTCCTCATTTACAGACCCTGTGGTTACATTGGGCCCACCTGGATGATCTAGGATATTCACCTTATTTTAAGGCAATCTAATTAGCAATATTAATTCCATGTACAATCTTAATATTCCCTTCCCATGTAATATAACTTATTCACAGGTTTGGGGGATTAAGACATAGGCATTTCAGGGGGCTATGATCTTGCCTACAATAACAGCTGTGCAGTTATAGTTTTGAAAACTGTTTTTAGTAAGTGACCATTGGCAGTTTTCATCAGTCTTTGAAGCAGCAGTTGTCATTCTTCTATGACCTAACAATTTGGGTTACCCCATACTTGGGTCATAGAGCAATGCAAACAGCACTGAGGCCATCACAGCAGCAGCAGATTCCTTGCCTTAAAGTCACATCCATCATGCTGCGCAAAATCCTCTTTCACTCCCCAAAGGTAACTATCAAATGAATTTTTCTCAGAGAACACTGTTTCCAACAACTATGGGCCTGGAGGGTCCCAGCTAGGGACATTTTAAGGAGCTTGAGCCATGATGAGTGGAGACCCCTTCTTCTTTACTCTCATTAAAACATTCTTGAGTTTTAGTTTATAGTAAAAGAAGTTTATAGACAGCACAGAGTTAAAATACTCTGCAGATATTTTAAACATGGATATCTTGTGTGTATTTACTAGATGATCAAGAAGTCCAGAACAACTGAAATGGCTCTGGAAAGTGTGAAGCAGCAGCTGGTGGACCTGCATCATTCTGAATCACTTCAGCGAGCTAGAGAACAGCATGAGAGCATTGTCATGGGCCTCACAAAGAAGTACGAAGAGCAAGTATTGTCCTTACAAAAGAATTTGGATGCCACAGTTGCTGCACTTAAAGAGCAGGTTGGGATGATCTCAAATGAGCAATTGTTATCAGCAAGTAAAGCTGGTTATGTTTTGTAGCTGATATTTTATGGTTCATCTTATAGAATTCTTGCATGTATGTAGTAAATGTTAGATTGTATGTGACGTGAGTGAAACTTAAAAGCCAGTGAAATTTTAATCTGAGAATACATCCTAAAGGTACACTTTTGGAAACTCTGCTTCTTATATGATTATTAGTACTTTCTCAGTTTTCACATTACTTGTTTTTTATTTGTAGAGTTATTTGTGCATATTGTTTACATGGTCCTAGAATAAATCCAGATCAAAACAAATGAGCGTGCCAGAGGCTGGCTGGAACCTGAGAGGTTTTCTTGGGCGCTTAACCAGCAGAAAGCCTTACTTGGGTCTCCCAGCAGTTGGTAATTCACCTATTGATACAATCTGTTGAGCAATGATACTTGGGAGAAGAGTTAATTTTGAGGACAGTATAATTTATAAAATAAAGAAGACAGTCTGATCTAGACTTAATGAGATTTGAAGCATGGGCATATTGCACAGTGAATTTTTATTATTTTTGCTTAAGAGGGAATAAAATATTGTTAGCTAAATATGAGCCAGGGGGTGAGTTTGCTTGTGCCTCATAACTCTAGGTAATCACTTAAGTGAATAAAATTTCAGAAAGCATTTTTCTTAACATAATTTCAAAATTGATTTAACCTAAGGGAAGAAGAGAAGAAAAATCAGATGTGAGGGTACAGAAAATTTCACCACACTTAAAATTCATGCTGATTTGGGTTATTTCTGACCTATATCGATGCCTCTGAATTTTTCCATGCTTTCAGGTAGAACTATTAAGGTTGCATTACTGGCAATAATTATTTGTATATCATTTTCTTTTTTACATGTATTTATATGTGTTTTTATTAGATCTATTTCACTATGTATTTTATATAGAAAAAACATTGTAAATTTGATCAGTATGGAGGATATATAGGAGTAGGAAAAGATGAAGGCCAGGTACAGTGGCTCATGCCTGTAATCCCAGCACTTTGGGAGACTGAGGCAGGTGGATCACTTGAGCCCAGGAATTCGAGACTAGCCTGGGAAAAATAGTGAAACCTTGTCTCTACAAAAAAATAAAAAATTAACTAGGTGTGGTAGCGTGCATCTCTAGTCCCAGCTACTTGGGAGGCTGAGGTGGGAGGATTGCTTGAGCCCAGAAGGTTGAGGCTGCAGTGAGCCATGACTGCACCACTGCACTCCAGCCTTGGTAATGGAGTGAGACTCTGTTTAAAACAAAAACAAAGTTGAAGTCTATACCAGATTATTGAAAAGTCTACTTTATAGAATATTTAGACAAATAGAATTTTAGATAAGTTTCATAAGTTTTTATTTCATTTTTAAGTTAATTTTGGTAAAACATAGGGTAGCATTAACGTTATTAATGTCCAAGCATTAGTTGGACTTGGACAGTAGCCCTTCTTGGAGGACTAAAGAGTGGATCCTGGGGGCTTTTCCATACTGGGTTGGAGGTCTCCATTCTCTGTTGACTTAAACACAGTTTCATTAGGGATGGGTTGGAAGGAAGTTGTAGTGTGTTCTATCCCTGTGCCCACTGCATTCTCTGTTGTCCACTCCCGCACCCCCTTCAATAGAAGACCTCTAAGACTAAAGTCAGAACAAATTCTTGATTCTTTGCTGGGTGGGCTTCAGACTCCTGAACCCATAAATTGAAGGTGCTAAGATCTTTTCCCACTGTTGCATTCTTTGCCTATTTTTACTTTGTTTCGTTATTTAAACAGAGCATGGCTGATGTTAGGCTCAGCATATAATTGCGTAGCTGCTTTGCAAAGTGGTATTCGAAAGTGCCTAATAGAAGCCCAGACCTCAGCATCATGCCACATATCCATGTTACACACCTGCACACATATCCTCTGAATCTACAAAACAAAATATATTTTGTTTTTAAACTGGTATATTTTGAGATTAAAGCTAGTATATTTTGAGAAATATATGGATTGTAAAATTATTAGTGTTTTTCTTAAGATACCAGCTTTTCTGAGTAGAAAAGATTATATGCATTCACAACATATTATAACAGTTCTTTTTATGGGGTTGATTTTCCCTTGAGTTTTTTTAGTGAGATAGAAAAGATGAAAGAAACGGGCTTCTTGGAGCTCACAGTGTTCCTCCAATGTCATAATTTTCTCCTAGTAAACTATCTCCTGGACTCTCTCCAGCAAACTGACTTTTACCTCTTCCCAGTTATAGAATTATCATGTTAAGATCTCTGATGATCTCGTTGCTGGTATATTACTTTTCTTCATTCCATCTCCTTGAAATCTTCAGCTTTCAGTGAAGTCACAGACTTTGTTTTCTATGTCATCACCTTCTACCTTTTCTTTAATGTTCTATTTAAAGGCTCTACTTGGAACACTTTCTGTTGGCTTAGAGACTCCCACAGACTTTGTGTGTGGTCTAGTCCTCATTTTCCTGTGCACTACAACCTAGTTCAGTTCTTTTTCCTCCCACAGATTCAGCTGTCATCTCTATCATCTCTCTCTCTCTCTCTCTCTTCTTTTTTTTTTTTTGAGTTGCAGTCTTGCTCTGTTGCCTAGGCTGCAGTTCAGTTGTCATATCTTTATCATTTCACTTGTCTCAGTCTTGGAAAATGTCTGCCCATGTCAGTCTTGAACTACTCAAGCTAATCATGGCAAAGATTGAGCTACTCATCTTGTTTTGATTTTGGTATTAAAACTTTATAGTTTTATGAGTATAATCTGTTTTCCTGAAGTTGTCAACAGGATACACCATGGTTTAATTGATTGTTACATATAATCAAATTATTGGCAGACTCTGCCTTTTCTTTACAATTTTTTGTTTAGACCGAGTCTCACTGTGCCGCCCAGGCTGGAGTGCAGTGACCCAATCTCAGTTCACTGCAACCTCCGCCTCCTGGGTTCAAGCAATTCTCCTGCCTCAGCCTCCTGAGTAGCTGGGATTACAGGTGCATGCCACCACGCTCCACTAGTTTTTGTATTTTTAGTAGAGACGGGGTTTTACCATGTTGACCAGGCTGCTCTCAGACTCTTGCCCTCAGGTGATCCTCCCGCCTCAGCCCCTCAAAGTGCTGGGATTACACAGGCATGAACCACCATGCTTGGCGTACAATTTTTTAAAATATATGTCCACCTTTTCTTTAACTTTGTTTGCTAGTTCCTAGTCCCTTGTAAACACAATTGTGACCATCCCAGGATAAAATATTAGCTGTCTCTCCACCCCTTCTTGCTGTCATTACTGTCATGCTGTCATTAATATGAGCTCATTCATTGTGTTTGCCACGTTACTTTGGCACTTTAGAACCAGGTTTCTCAAGCTGGCCTGGAATTAGCAGCAGTGTGCCAGGAAGTTTGCTGTGCTGAATAAACATGGACCAGTTTCCAGAAGCTTCATTTTGCTCAAAAATTTAGTAGAAAAAATTTAAAGCAAACACAGCTTCATTATGAAATAGAATACAAAATTCACATGAATTTTTAAGTTAAAATAGGAGACTTCAGAATCTTTTTGCTTCAAGGAACTTCTGTGTTAGTGCCCTTATGGGATGTACCTTGTGTTCGTATCCTGAAGGTATTATTGGGCTTTAGGTTATACTACAGATCAGGCAGCAGAAGTCTAAGGGCTTTTCTTTACTTCAAAGCACTTTCTCAGTGTTCTGCTTATTTCTTATTTTCTTTATGTTTTCTTGGGTAATTTCAATTATTTAACTTAATTTACTCCCCTGCCTCTCCCATCCTCTGCCATCTGCCCGGAATTCAGCCTGTGTAGCCTTTTTTAAAGAGAGGTGATGATTTTGACGGTGTATTTGTTCTACCTGGACTTAGGACTCCCGTGGTTCATTACACCCAAACACATTTTCTTTTGTTAGAAACTTGAGTATATTGCATATACACTCTATATTTTGTGTAATCATATATAGTTATGCATATACACATACACATTTACCCTATCTTTGTCGTTTATTTTTCAAGTGTTTATTGTAGCACTTGATGTGTCTAAGGCACTGCAGAAGTACCTTCAAGGGGGCTATTAAGAGAAATAAGACATGTCAAAGGTAGAGAAAGATAAGAGAGGAACAGATCAAGTTTAAAAGAAGTTCAGAAGAGGGAAAGATTATTTTTGGCTGCTCTTAATGGAATGAACTTTTGGCTGCTTAGAATACAGTGAGTTTTCATGTGGTTTTCTATATCCTTACTGTTTTGGGATACAAATTGCAAGATTCAAAGCAGTCTAGCTACATATATACATATATATGTGTATATATATGTATATATGTATGTATGTGTATACATATAAATATATACACACACACTTTTACTGATAGTATAAAATACATATAGGAATGTAATACATTTTCTTTGGCTTGAATAAAATCTAATTTTTGAATAACATTGTCTTGTGAATATAGAATCGAAGGAGACTTTAGAAAGCATCTAATTCAACCTGTGTTAGCATAATTACAAAAGAAGAAACAGACTGGAGAGTTGAAGCCTCACCCAAGCTCTCAACTCCGAGTTCTGTGCACTTAACCTTGTAGCAGAGGTGATGCTGCCATGTGATGCTCTTGTATTTGACATAAAATCCAATTGGGTATCATAATTTTTAGTTTAATCTTTATTAAAATCCTTCAAGAAAATGACTTGCTGAACTTTTTTTTCAATTTAGGAAGACATTTGCTCTCATTTGAAAGATCATGTGAAACAACTGGAAAGGAATCAAGAAGCAATCAAGTTAGAAAAGACTGAGATAATTAACAGGTTGACAAGAAGTCTAGAGGAGAGTCAAAAGCAATGTGCCCATTTGTTGCAGTCCGGTAGGTGTCTGGCGGGTCCACTGTCTCCCCACAGAAAGAATATAGTGGGATCCATGAATTGTAAAAATCCAGAAGGGACAGAAAACACAATCAGTGATACGTTTCTTAAAAAGATTGTGTGTGTGTGTGTGTGTGTGTGTGTAAAGGTTTAGTTTGTTTTTGTTTTTTTTTTGAGACAATCTCACTGTCTCCAGGCTGGAGTGCAGTGGTGCAATCTTGGCTCACTAAAACCTCTGCCTCTGGGTTCAAGCCATTCTCCTGCCTCAGCCTCCTGAGTAGCTGGGATTACAGGCATGCACCACCGCGTCCAGCTAATCTTTGAAATTTTAGTAGATATGGGGTTTCACCATGTTGGCTGGGATGGTCTTGGTCTCTTGGCCTTGCTATCCGCCTGCCTCGGCTTCCCAAAGTGCTAGGATGACAGGCGTGAGCCACTGCGCCCGGCCAGTTTATTTTTATTAAATAATTTGGAAGCGGGAGACCAGTAGAAAGTACCAAATAAAAATAACCATAATTCTACTGAGATAATTATTGTTAGTGTTTGAATGTATTTCCTTCAAATGATATGTACACACATAGACAATTTCCTGCTTCTTTATTGCATTTCTGAAAACATACTAAAGCTGAACATGCAAAAATTGAACAATGAAATACATTATAAGGTAATTTCTATCCCTGAAAACTAAAAATGACTGTAAAATCCCATTATATTTTGCTTTTTAAGGCCCAATATTTGATCATGTAATTCTATCCTTTGTATAACTTCTTTCACGTTGTTCCCCTCATAGTGGAATAGTGACTTACCTAGTTGGTTGAGGCCAGAGAGTTACATTTTTGTTGTCATGCTTAAGGTTTCTGATATGGTATCCATGGTACTAAGTTTGAGACATATGCTTCCTATCATTTTAGTTTTAGCAGTTGTTTTATTTCTTATTAATTTTTATAAAATGATATTAGAGCAAAGAGCAATAAAATGATCACATTTGTACAAACACTGCTATATAGACAAAACTTCCCTGTTTACTGGTGAGTAGCTCACATCGTGAAAATAGGTCAACAGTTATTTGTTAACTGGTATATGAAAGTCACACTTTGGGATATGAAAGGTAATTTAGACTGGTGGTACGATACGTGAAAGCGTGGGTTATTTAAAAGTTGAAAGTACTAAAGTCAAAGACTGCCTAAATATATGTGTATATACGTCTTGGTAGGGAGCAAAATTTGGATTATGCTTTATTAAGGGCCCCTCCCTGTTTAGTTTTATAGCCTTTGTTTTCACTTGGCATTACTTGGTGAGCCTTTTTCCTGGCCATTAAATGCTTTGAAAATATTATTTTCTTTATGCTATCATTGCTTCACTTAATCATTTCCCAGATGGTCATTTTCTTTTGAAACCTAATAACGTCCCTTTTAAAATGGGAATAGTGCCCCCACCACCTTGCCCAGTACATTTAAAATATTAGGTTTCTAAAGTTTCAGAATTATAACCTATTATACTTCATTTACATGTGGAGGTGGAGATGCTGGATAGAAAAGCATTTAGAAAGAAGTTAAAGGCAGCACGATAGAGTTTTCTTATTGCAGGGTAGAAATGGGTTCCAAAGAATTTTTTTTCTTTGGCTTTCCATGAGTTGGAGTGTTATGCTCCTATTAAAGGACTTCCGGAATGTTAAGGTCTGTAGATGTGGCTGATTTGATTCATAAAAAGGTCAAGGTAGCCCATGCCTTGAACTGCCCAAGGTCATAGGGGATGCCATAGTAAATCTTGGAGATGTCTGGCTCAGACTTATGCCTTCTGGGTCTCACAGGTTCTGTGTGTGTTTCTAAAGAGACAGCGGTAATGAAGCAGAGCCTCAGAGGATTCAAGTCTTCTGTAGATCTTAAGTACTTTGTCCCCTTAGTTTTTCAGTGTATCCTATGGTTCTTTCCTGTACAGGGTCAGTACAAGAGGCGGCTCAGCTACAATTCCAGCTGCAGCAAGCACAGAAGGCACATGCTATGAGTGAAAACATGAACAAGGCTTTACAAGTGAGTGTTGCCACTTGGAAGAGATTCAATGGGTGTCTGAATTAGGCAGTAGTTATATCACCTTTCGAATCCTGAGTTTCTCTGTATAATAGAGGTGGTTGGACCACCTTCAAACCGGCCGATGGGAATTGTTCACCATCTCCTTCACACGGCTGGCAAGTCAAGCATAGGTCTGTTTAATTGCAGAGCCAAGGCTGTGCCCTTCCTGCCAGTCTGCCTGCCACCTCCTTCAAGTGGCATGTCTTTTCATCTTTGGGTGTATCCCAGAGATCAGTTCATTTATGGGGGTGGGGAAAGTTGAATTTGCTGCAATTCTTTCATATCCTCCTCCAGTACTCTTACATTTTCCACTGGAGGGGGAGGAAAATATGGGAGAAGAGTTCCACTATTACCTCCACCAAAAGAGGTATTTTGCCTTTTCACCACTGGCAGGCTAAACTACAACACATTCTTGGCAAATCAGCATGCTTTGTCCTGTACTCTAGTAAGCCAGAAAATGCCGTGCCGCCGTCAGCATTTCAGCCCAAGAAACATACCACTTTCCATGGAGGACAAAATCTAAGAGACAGAGGTGTGTGAGGAAATGCTTATGTTTGTTTTTTCATTCATTTATTCATTCAGGTTTTACCTGAAAACCTGCTATGTGCTGGCCTTTATAAAGTATAATGTACACTGCTAATATATTTGAAGAAGTTTTTTTGCCTTCTATGGATCATTAAAACAAAATTTGAAGTATAGATAGAATGACTGATTTTTTCATATAGGAAGATAATGAAAATTTTTAATAATTTTGTATTGTAGGAAGAATTAACAGAACTAAAAGATGAAATTTCTCTCTATGAGTCTGCTGCAAAACTAGGAATACATCCAAGTGACTCAGAAGGAGTATTAAATATAGAACTCACTGAATCATATGTGAATTTGGGTATTAAAAAGGCCAACTGGAAAAAATCCAAAGTTAAAAGGTATGGAAAGAATATTTTAATTTACTGTAAAAGAACCAACATTAATAATACTGATGATGCATGGTATCTGTTTTAAGGTGAGGTCATATTATTTTTATATGTTAATGCTGTATACTGAATGCAGATACCTTGCATTTATCAATGGTATATGAAAACTAAACATGAATGTTTTCTAAGACCCTTACTATGACCTTATTTTAAAGTAGAGATTCTGTCTTTTATACTACTGCTTAATACAGATATTTTAGCAATCTCATAGAAGGAAGTTTTTTATCCCTCCTGCCAGGGACTGATTGGGAAGGGAGTAGTAGTGGTGGCAGAAGGAGAATTAAACACTGAAAGAACTTTAGAAGCGCTTGCTAAGTGGAAGGTGCTATCTAAGGCTCAGGGAGTAGAGTACAGAAGATAAGATAGGAACTGTCCTTCCCACAGCGAGCTTACATGTTTTCTGGTCAGGGAGAAGTAAGTGCTATGCAATCAATGTTATGTTTGATGTATAGAAGTGGGATTTATATATTTCCTTTGCTGGTTTTGGATAGGAAAGAGACATAATGGTGTTTGGAAGACATTGTATTTAGGCTAAGGAAAGATTTTTGGATGCGTTTGGCCTTTACCACCACCATTTTGATTATAGTTTAAGACTGAGTTTGCCATCATTATCAAATTAGAGCTTCCTGAGAGTGTTTAATACATGTTGTATTTCAGGTATTACACAACTAAATACAAATATATAAATGTCCTGAAAAGTTTGCTCTACAATGAGTTTTAGTAGTTATGTATTTTGAGACTGTGATCCCATTTTAAGAACAGTAAGATGAGATTCAGTAAATTGGATTATTAAGTGATGAGGTGATACTGTGAAAGAAGATATTACTTTAGTTTACTGAGGCTCCATTTTTCTGGAGGTCTATCTTCAGGGACTCTCACCCTGCAAATCACAGTCTACTATCTAGATCTAGGGAAGGAAAGAAGAAAATATCAGAACTAGATTATATGATGTATTTAGTAGGGGCCACCTTCAAGTTCTTATCCCAGGACCATATTGACTTAGATTTATTTGTATCCCATGAATTGTCTGATTTCCTAATTGACCGCAGAGGGCTAGGGCAAGGGTTGGGAAAGACACCATCCGTGCTTCAGCAAGGCAGTTCAGCCTTAGCAAGGAGAGAACTATGGAAACCTACCGGGCTGGAGTTGCTGAGCATCACAGCAAATAGCTTTACACATTTCCATATGTTTGAGCCACATTAGAATGTCCACAGTTATGATCCCAAAAATGATCCCAAGTTGTCAGACAAAGGCTTCTACTTTGGTTAGAAAATAAAGCAAAACAGGAAGGAAGTGCATTATATCTTTTTCAGACATATAAAATGTTAAAGTTAGTATAGTCATCTAGAAAATTCACTGCTGTGAATGCCTCATTCCCTGCTATTGCCAGATCAATTCTAAGGGGTTAGTGGAAAGAGCATGGGCTTTAGATCCAAACTGTTTTGAATAATTTGCCATTTTATTACTAGCTTTATGAGCTTGGACAAATTTCTTAGCTTTTCTGAGCCTGTTTTCTTACCAGGCTTAGTATCCCATGGTGGTTAAACTGAGGATTCAAATAATGAATATAAAGGGCCTCATGTAACATGTTCTAACATATATTAGGCAGCTGAAAAATGATAGCTGTTACTACTATTATTCACTAGATGGTTGATTAAAATATATCATTGATCAGATTTTGTAAGTCATATTAATTTTATATTAATTCAACACATACTTTGTAAAATGCTCTTGATCCTCAACCTTGTCAAAAACATCAAATCCAATATTATCTTGTGAGAGGTGGAAAAACCAGAGTGAACTCCTTTACTCATTAAGGCAGACAATTAGTAGCAGAAGCAGTATTTGAGCCCAAGTACTGCTCTCCTGAGAAACGGTGAGTTGTCTGTTCGTATTTACATGTCAGTCAAACCATTTTGCCTTAAACTTCATTCTTCATGTCTTTTAGTTTTGAGGATTAAAGATGTAGTTCATGCCAAAAAATATTTTTCTCTAATTTGTTACTAGTTTTAGTTTGTGTTATAATTGGTCTGAAAATTGGATAAGTAATACATTATGTATATTTATCTTTTCAAATAGTTACTTCTTCACGATGTATATATTAAAATATATTCTGCTACATTTGCACTTTGTATTAGTGCTCTTAGCCAAAATCCTGTACTCATCTTAAAGCACATTTCTATAGATAATAAACCTGAGACAACACATCATTATTATAGTGAAAGGAATGAAGGACGCATTCAGTGGGAAAGTGAAGAATAAAGCATAGTGTGATTGGTCTTTGCGCTCGGCAAAAAGACATCCAATGAAGCACAAGATAAGCAAAGAAAAATTTTGCTTGTAGTCATCCCACCCACCAGCAGTTTAATAGCTGATATTTTGGTTTCCTGGAAAACTAAAAGCAGTTATACTCAGATCAAATTTAAAGGAGATAAAGGAGAAACGAGATTTCCTCTGGTCTACTGTGTTTCCTAGAATAAAAGGAAGCAATCATTTTCCTGTGCTGGGAATTTTAGTTCTTTGTTGACTTGAGCTGCTTTCAAATCATCGACCCAAATATTGGCAGCTACAAGCTTTTATTACCAACTACCTCCTCCCTCAAGCTACCGCCTAGTAAATTTTAAGGGGTTAGCCTCAATGTTCTATTTTACATTCATGGAATTTGAGTAGCTAAATCTGCATGCAGCTTGCAGACAGCTTCCTCTCTCCCTTATTATAGTTGGCTGCTAAGCTCAAATAATAAACATTTAACAAGTGGAATGCCTTTTCCCTTTGGTCTTCTCAGCAGACTTCATAAGGGACTACAGTTTATTTGGATTTAGGAGAACTGACTTCCATAGGGCTCAGTAGTGAGCCTTTTTCAGGATTGGTCACCACCACTGATTATTTTCCTCTTTGAGGAAAGAAGAGAAAATTATTTTAGCAAGCACTTTCTCCCTCTCTCTGACTTGGCTCCCTTTAGGAGTACAGGATGTGCTATTTCAGTGGTCAGCATTCAGTAAGAAAAGAAATTGGGGATGCATAATTTGTTAACTGAGCAAAATAATCATTCTGCTTAAGGTTAGTTCACCATGTCTTATAGTACAGGAAGTTATGTCGTAAAATATATTTCTTATATAATTAATTATATTTCCATTTCTAATTATTTATATTTTCTACTTAATGGAAATAGAAGTGGTTTAAATGATATATATACTGACTACTTACACAATATATATTACATGTACAAAAGTTTCATAATGTATTGCAAAAAGCTCCTTTTATAACAGTTTATATAATAGTTTATTCATTTTCTCTTTACACACACATGCGCGCACACACACACAATTCTAAGATTTTATTTTGAATGATTCGAAACTGAAGAACAGTAAACATTTTAACTCGTGCTATTATTTTTGTTTCTAATAAAGTATTTAAAAAAATATTTTTGGAAGTTTTAATTTACAGACAAATTTTTATTATAGAGTTTGTATATATGATATACTGCACCCATTTTCCACTACTAATGTCTTACATTATTATAGTTCATTTGTTACAATCAATGAGGCAATATTGATATATTATTATTAATTAATATCCAGGGTTTATTTACCTGTCTTTAGTTTTTATTTAACATACTTTTTCTGTTCTGGGATCCCATCCAGGCTACCACATTACATTTAGGAGTCATGCTTCCTTAGATTTCTCTTAACTTTGTTTTGATGACTGTGACAGTTGTAAGGAATATTGGTCAAGTATTTTTTAGGAAGGCTCTCTATTGGAATATGATGTTTTTCTCATGGGTTTTGTGGTGGAAGACCACAGAGACCTTCATCACATCATCCTGAGGGTAGATACTGTCAACTGTTTATTTCTTTTCAAAAGTAACCTCCTCCTCCATTTATGAAAAAATTAGAAAATACAGACTAAAAAAGAAGAAAATAGAAATCACCAGTCTCACCTTACTTGCCATGAAGGAAACCACTATAATATTTCAGTATAAAACTTCCACATCATCTATTTTGTATGTTTCTAAAAAATAAAATAATATTGACAATACTTCTTTATGATGTCATTTTACTAGTATATTCTGAAATCTTTGAATATCAGTGAATATTTTTCTATATAAATTTTAATGAATATATAGATGAATGAACCCGTTTAGTTACTAAAACACTTTAAAATTTTTATTATAAATAATGCAATCATTGTTATAATATATTTGTAGTCAAGTCTTTATTCACATCTTTGATTATTTCCTAAGGATGTAGAATAATTTTCTTGCTAAAGGATGTGTACTTATTTGAGGATTTTGATGTGTACTACTAAACAGCCCCAAAGTTAATGTTATTACTCATGTTCTGAGCTTGTCCCTATTTCGCTATAACCTAGCCAGTATTGACAGTTATCACTTTTCCTGTTTATAATTTTTGTATATTTAGATCTGTCACCCTTTTCCTTTATGGTTTCTTGATATTTAAAAATAAGGTATTTCTCTAGTGCTTTCTGTAGTTTTATTTTGCTTTTAAAATCTTTCAAATTTTGGAATATACCATATAAAGAAGAGTGCATGGAACATAAGTATACAGCTTAAGGAATTATTTTAAAGTGAATATTCATGGAACCACCACCCATGTCAATAAATAAATATTGCCATGGGCTGTACATATTCTTTCCTATTGTAACCTCGAGGCTATTACGATCTTATCTGTTAGGGCAATCATTTTCTGTTTTTCTTTTTCCCTTAGCCTTTTAATACCCAATTATTCACACCTAAGCACTACAGATTATTAGATTTGCCTTCATACAAAGGGAACTCATACATTAGGTGTTTGGGTTTTCTTCTCTCTCTCTTTTTTTAAAAATAGTTTTATTGAGATATTATTTCACATACCATAAAAGCCACCCACTTAAAGTGGTTTTCAGTATATTCACAGAACTGTGGACTTATCACCACACCTAATTTGAGAGCA